CTGTTTGCAGTTCCAGTTCTAGGGGCTCTAGTGTCCTCTTCTGGCTTCTATAGGCATTATACACGCACATGGGCAAAAAGGAAAAAAAATCGTATAGAATTGTGGATTTTAACTAGGCAAAGATGTTTATGCTGTGCAATATTACTTTAACTGTGTAAAGATGTATTGCTTTTGTTTATGCTGCATTTGTTTAATGATGTAAGGATGTGTGTTTAGTTATGAAAAGATGTGTTGCATCTGTTTCCTCTTGCCTGCCTAAGGCACCTGCTTGGTCTAATAAAAAGCTGAACAGCCAACAGGTAGGCAGGAGAAAGGATAGCTTGGGCTAGTGGGCGGAGAGCATATATAAGAGGAGAGATCTAGGCTCAGGAGAGAAGATAGACAAGAGAAGGAGAGAACGAGGGACACACCCGGGGCAAGAAGCCAGGCAGGTACCAGCCAGTCAGACCTAGAGAAGCAGTGAAAGTAAGAGATACAGGAGTAAGAAAGGTAATAAGCCCCGAGGCAAAAGGTAGATAAAGAGAAACAGGTTAATTTAAGTTAAAAGAGCTAGCCAGAAGCATGTAGGTGCAAGGCCGAGCATTAAACACTAATAAGTTGCTGTGTCATGATTTGGGAGTTGGTTGGTAGACCAAAAGAAAAAGCCTGGTATACAGAATTTTAAAAAACTTAAAATAGTAAAGATTTTCAAAAATGCTGTTATAGCCAGTAATGCACACCTTTGTCCCAGCACTCAGGAGACAGAGGTAGGTGGGCCTCTTTAAGTTTCAGGACACTCTTGTCAATATAGAGAGTTCTAGGTTAGTCATGATTACACAGTGAGATTCTGTCTTCAAAAAAAAAATCAGAAACTGGGAATGATTTTATAAATCTGTAATCCTTGAACTCCAGAGGAGGTGACAGGAGGATCAAGAATTCAAGGTCAGGGGCTGGAGAGATGGCTCAGAGGTTAAGAGTATTGCCTGCTCTTCCAAAGGTCCTGAGTTCAATTCCCAGCAACCACATGGTGACTCACAACCATCTGTAATGGGGTCTGGTGCCCTCTTCTAGCCTGCAGGCATACACACAGACAGAATATTGTATACATAATAAATAAATAAATATTAAATAATAATAAATATTAAAAAAAGAATTCAAGGTCATCCTTGGCTACATAACAAGTTTGAAGAGGCCAGTCTTAGGTACTTGAGACCATCTCTCAATAAAAAACAAAAGAAGGTGATGCAACACCTCTAGTCCCAGCTCTCAGTAGGCAGAGGCAGGTAGATGTCCGTGAGTTCATCTACATAGCAAACTCCAAACTAGCCAAGCTACATAGTGAGATTGTGCTTGAAAGCAACAACAAAGCGGGAAGGGATGCTTGGGGGAGATGGCTCAGTCTGCCAAGTGCCTGTCACTCAAGCATGAGGAACTGCATTCAGATCTCTATAACCCATGTCAAATCCAGGTGTGGCAGCACTGGCTCATAGCCCCCAGCACTACACTGGGGAATGGGAGTCCAGGCGAATCCTTGGAGCTCCCTGGCCAGCCAGCCTAGCCCACTGATGAACTTCAGACTCATTAAAGAGACATTGACTCACGCAATAAAGGTGGAGAGCAATGGAGAGAAGACACCTAACTTGGGTCTTGTACTCCACACAAGCAGGCGAACCTGTAGACACTGGTACACACACACACACACACACAGACACACACACAGACACACACACACACACACACTACAGGTATATACCTCACATTACACAAAATAGAATAGAAAAGGAAGGAAGGAAGGGAAGAAATACTGGTCTATGTGTGCCTCTCATTCTGGTGCAGCTCGATGGATGTTTATTGATTGCCAAGTACCTGAGAACTGCCTCTGGCTTACTGTCTAGCTGGAAAGAAGGATCCAGTTTTGCTGCCTGGATCCGTACAACTAGCTTATTTTTTGGTGGGGGATCTTGTATCCAAGCCAATGAATAGTTAATTTAATGTCCGACCAGTAGGGTTTTCTCTGCTGTCTGGAAAGTTAATTCCCAGGTCATCCATGCATTATGCATAGATGGCATTGGCCTGATTCTCTGGCACTGAAGCTCATCCCAAGAAGATCAGGAAAGACAGGGGAGTGCGAGAGACAGGCCTGGAGGTCAAAGACCCTGTTTAGAGCTTCTCTCCTGAACTGCAGGCACCAGGAGCCTAGGCCAAAGGAAGTCAACTCTCTCTTTGGCTTTCCAACAGGCTCATGATGCTCCAGTCTGTCGCCCACTGCTCTGAGCTCAGAAGTAATCGATCCCTCTTGCCTCCTGCAAGGCAAGGCATCTCAGGTTTTCAAGATTAGACATCACTTGAGTGGGTCCAGGTATTTTGGAAAACAGTTAAAAATTCTTAGAAAGTTGAACATGTGTTGGTGCATGACCCAGCCATCCCATCTCTAGGTATTAACCTAGCATCTGTCCACACGAAGCCTGGTGCCTGATATGTTCCTGGCAGCCTTACTGTAATAGCCCCAAACAAAAACAACCCAAGAGAATGCACAGCTGCATGGATTAACTCGCAGTGGGACATCCAAGTAATTAATGGAGTCTACTCCCTCACAAGAGCAACCGAGGCCCTGGTATAGATAAAAGCATGGCTGAATCTCAAAACTGTGGCACTCAGTAAAAAATTTCAACAGAAAATTCTGAGCCTCTCCATGAAATTAAGGAGAAGGTGGAACTATGATGGCAGGCAGATGTCGTGACATGAGACTGTTAAGTGTGGTGGAGGCAGGAGGATCAGGGTTCAAGGCTGTCCTTTTCCGGCAAAACAACCTAAAATAAATAAATACTGGCATCAGAAAGGACTAAGAAACTACCTCAAGGAGAAGCCTAGCTGTGCTCCGAATAACCCCTAAGGGCTCCTCTACAGATTCTTCAGTTGCTGTACACTGAAACCCACACTCTGAGAACGATACCTTTTGCTCTTTTGGTGTGCAATAATCATGTCCCCAGAAAGCCACAAGCACAATCCTGACGATGCATGCCCTTCAGGACTCAGGACTTGGCACTCATTTGACCCTCCACAGCATATTTCCAGAAAATTGTCTATACAGTGTTTTGCCTGCATGTGTCCCTGCAGGCCAGGAGAGGGCGCAAGATCTCATTATAGATGGGTGTGAGCCACCATGTGGTCCTGGGAATTGAACTCAGGGCCTCTGGAAGAGCAGCCAGTGCTCTTAACCTCTGAGCCATCTCTCCAGACCACTTTTGTGAAGTTTAAGAGCTAAAGGAGATGGTGTTCTTCGAGGGGGAGGGAGGCTAATGGGATTGGAGAGAACAGTCTGAGTTCCATCAGATTTGGGATTTGGTGCTGTGTTCTAGGACAGCCTGTCCCAGCAGTTTGCACTCCTCCCCTGGGTGGTGGTGGGGAGGTTGGTCCTTCAGGCAGAATACTGATTTGTTGGTATTTAAGTAACTGGGGGATTAAATGGGTTATAGGTTTCCCTGTCTAGGGCCTCATCCTCTGATGGCTGGAAGCCTATCAAGGGCTCTTAAATTCATAATCACATCTGGGTACTTCAGTTCCTCCCTGTGCAGCCCGGCAGTATTGCGAAACCACAGAGAGGGAGCGAGATTGGGGTCTGGGTGGGAAGCTACGCTGGCATCGATCAGATTCCTGGGAATTAAACCGAGGATCCAGTTTTGGTGTTGTCACCGGCTGACCTTGAACATGTTTCAGCTCAAAATGTTGGTTTTCTTCGCTCCCAAACCAGGACATCACCTGCCCTGGTTATGACATGGGCAGGATAAAAGATACATCCCCAATCCCACCCCACCGCCCTGCATACACACAATCACTGAAGGAGGACTGGAAATGGAGAGTCTTGAAATTGAGCAAAGTGGATAAATAGTATTCAAGGGGTGGAGACAAGAACAACAAAAGTTTAAGGTCATTCTTAGCTATATAGTAAGTTTGAGACTACCCTGATTTACATAAGACCCATTTTTTTTTTGTAGGATAGTAAGGAAATAAGTTAAAGGGAAAATAAGAGAATGCATTGAAACAAATGTGCCATCCAGTAGAGTTGTCCTAACAACAACCTAGGTATGGTCTGTACTGAGGCAGACAGTCTCAGCTTCCCGTGGTCGCTCAGTACATGAAGGTCTGACCAAAGCAAGGAAGAACAAACTCAATAAAACTCCTCCAAGAAAAATTTTAAAAGGCCCTCAGAATGGAGAGACATTGATATAAACGGGCCAGGAGCTGGGCACACAGTTCAGTCAGTAAGGCATGAGGATCATGAGTTTGGATTCCCAGCCTTCACTTGAAAAGCCCGGAGTATGGGGTACATTTGTTACCTGTGGCTGGAAAACAGAGACGTCTGGAAAACAGAGATGCTCATTGGCCAGCCCGTCTAGCCGGATCTAGCTCAGACCCAGGAGACAGCCAGGACGTAGGCTAGACCCCTCCTTCTCAAGTGGAGATCGCCCTCCCCCTGCGTCCTCCCTCCTCCTTCTTCTCTCCTCCCTCCCTCCCGCCCCACACGTCCCTCACCAGCCTCCTCTCCCTTCGCTGCCTAAGTCCCTCCCCATCCTCCACCCTCTTCCAGTCCCTCCCCCTGCTCTTTCCTCCCGCTTCCCTC